GGGGGGGGAGGAGGGAGGGAGCGGGTGGGAGAGAGAGAGAAGGGGGCAGCCAGGGCTATAGCAAGGGCACTGCCACGCGGCCCCTCCCGCCGCCTGCTGTGAGGGCTCCGCTCCGGTCGGCGGGGAGGGAAGGAAGAGGACTGCCCTGCAGGGTGATCTGGTTCTCCGTGCCACCGCCCCCTACAGGGCGGCCGGAGCGGAACAACAACAACAACAAAAAGCGGCCGTGCCGCCCTAGGATTGGGCAGAATGCCACCTTGAACAATCTGCCACCCCAAGCACCAGCTTGCTCAACTGGTGCCTGGAGCCGGCCCTGAGCAGGGGAGGGTGCCTAGGGGACGGAGCAGCCCTTCACGCTAGGGGGTGGGTGAAGAGGGTGCTAGGCCCCTGCCCCGGGGGCTGATGTTAAGCCTGCAGGGTCGGGGTGCAAACAGGCTGAAAATCGCTTCCCCTCACCACTCCAGAGCTTAGCTGAAGGGCAGAGAGGATTCCCCGTACCAGCGCTGTGTGGGGCTTTGGCACATGCAGGGCTCAGCTCCTCCTGGCCAGCGCCCCAGGATGGAGGGTCTTGAGCTTTCCCGGGGTGCCAGCCCAACCAGAGGCAGTGGGGGAAGGAAGGAGCCTGCTGGCCAGGCTGTTGGTGAGCTCAGCGCTCCGACTAGGGGCTGGTTCTCCACACAGCGCTGGGAGCGGGACGCACCCTGTGGTGGGGGAGGGGAATATGGAGGAGCTGCAGGGGGTAAAGGGGCAAAGCAGGGAGAGGACAGCAATAGGGGAAGCATGTAAAGAGCCGATCGGTGGGCTGCAGAGGTGACACATAACTGGCCATCGCCCAGCGCTTGCCTGCACTCACCAGCCACCACAGCATGCAGAAACATAACGGGGGGCAGAGCCCTACTAGCCGAGAGCTGGCACCGCAACAGGGGCTATGCTGACAGACCAGCAGGGGGAGCAGCCAGCCCCACCCCCAGCCTTGCACACCCACCAGACCCTCCACTAATCACTGGTAGGCGGGCAGCTGGCAAGCAGGGATCCGACCAGCAGCAAGACCCACCAGCCCTGATGGGGAAGTGGGGGAGGAGAGACAGAAAATACAGGACAATTTGCCCATTTTTAAGAAAAAGTTGGGACACCCGCAGGAGGCCTTAAGTATGGGACTGTCCCTTTAAAAACGGGATGTCTAGTCATCCTACCCACATCACACATGAGTGCATTAACCATAAGGCTAAAAATTATAGTGTGAGCAACAGCTCCATTTTGTGTGTGAGATAGGTGCTTAACTCATTCCTGCAGCAAACTTCTTAGGTGTCTAAGCTGCCTGACTTCAAGAGATGCGTTTTCATTTGTGGACCACTAAGCCGAGACAGGCACCTCCCTGCAGCCCAGAGGCAGTAGCCTACCTCAGAGAGGGGCAGGGTTTATCACACACCCAGGGCCGGCTCCAGGCACCAGCCCACCAAGCTTGTGCTTGGGGCGGCACCTGGAGGAGGGCGGCACGGCGTGTCACTCCGTCTCTGGCCGCCGGGGAGAGCGGAGCCCCAGCCGGGCTCTCCGCCCTCCTCCCGGTGCTCTGGACACCAGCGGCCCTCCCCCCGGCGCTCCGGCCGGTCTGGGACAGGGGCCCGCGGCCAGGCTCAGCGCCCTCCCCTGTCGTGCTCCGGGGGGGTGGCAGGGAAGGGGGGCGGCAGGAGGCTTTTTTGCCTGGGGCGGCAAAAAAGCCAGAGCCGACCCTGCACACACCTCTTTTTTGGTTTCTCTCTCTCTAATGTGCTGGCTTTTGTGTGTCACATTCCGATCTCCCCATTTATTGTATAGGGAGTCTAGGTGCCTAACTCAGGCTTTGTGGATCACAGTAGTGTTCCTGTGATTTTTTTTTCTAGGAGCCTACAAGTTAGACACCATGATGCTCAGCAATGCAATGACTAAATCCCTTGTGGATCAGGCCCTTCTGTCTTAACCTATGGTACATCAGATGGCAGCACCGGCTCAGTGAAACTGCATCTCTCAATGGCTGAACTTCAACTTGCAGCTGCTCTGTTCTATGGCACTGATTTTTCTGGGGAAGGATATGCAAACGCTGCTGCTACGCAGTCAAGGTATTATTGGACTGTAGATATGGATCGCTACATAGAAAGTGGGCAATGGTCATAGATTCTAAAGCCAGAAGGGACCATTATGATCATCTACTCTGACTTTTATACCACAGGCCATAGAAATACCCAAAATTAATTCTTTTAGAAAAAAAACAAATATTGATTTTTAAAATGGTCAGTGATAGAATATCCACCATAACCATTGGAATAATTTACCTAGGGTCAATTACTCTCACTGTTGAAATTTTACACCTTTATTTCCAGTTTGTATAAACAGTAATCAAGTCACCCCTTAACCTTTGCTTTGTTAAGATAAACACATGGACCCTTGAGTCTGTCACTGTAAGGCAAATTTTCTGTTCTCACGGCTTGTCTCTGAACCCTCTCCAATTTTTCAACATTGTTCTTGAATTGTGGATATCAGAACTGGACATAGTATTCCAGTAGCAGTCTCACCAGTGCCAAATACTGAAGTAAAATAACCTCTCTATGGCTCGAGATTTGCCTGTTTATGCATCCAAAGAGCACATTAGCCCTTTAGGCCACAGCCTCGCTGTGGGAGCTTATATTCAGCTGACTATCCACCATGACCCCCAAAGCTTTTTCAGAGTCAGTTTTGCAGGATAGAGTCCCCCATCCTGTAAGCATGGCTTGCCTTCTTTGTTCCTAGATGTATATATTTACATTTTAGCCATCTTAAAAATGCGTATTGTTTGCTTGCACCCAAGTTACGAAGCGATCCAGATCACTCTGCATCAGTGGCCTGTTCTCCGAATTATTTACCACTCCCACAATTTGCAAACAATCTGCAAACTTTGTCAGGGATAATTTTATGTTTTCTTCCAGGTCTTTGATAAAAGTGTTGAATAGTGTGGGGCTACGAACAGAGCCGTGTGGGATCCAACTATAAACACACCCATTCAATGATGATTCCCCATTTACAATTACATTTTCAGACATGTTAAGTTAGCCAACTTTTAATTTATTTAATATGTGCCATATTAATTTTATATCATTCTAGTTTTTAATCAAACTGTTGTGCAGTACCAAGTCAAATGCTTTACAAAGGTCTATGTACATTACATCAAACACTATTACCTTTATCAATCAGACTTGTAATCTCAGGCTTGTCCCTGTGGCGTGCCGCCTCCCGCAGCTCCCAGTGGCTGGGAACGGTGAACCGTGGCCACCGGGAGCTGCGGGGGGCCATGCCTGCAGACAGTCAACATCTGTAAAATGTCTCACGGCCTGCAATCAGCTTACCCTGGTTGGCCACCACTGGGTTAGCTGCTTGGTGCACCTGAGTTTCAGTAGCTTGGGAAGCAAGCATTGCATGATAGCACTTAAACTTAGGTCTTCCACTAAACCTCATGTGAGCAAACAGGCAACTTATTCTATATTGCTATTTTTACCTTTTGTGCTGTGGTTTCTTTGATTGTGTTCATTTATTTCTCTTCACCTCTGTTCCCTCCCCCCCCCCCCGACTGTTTATTGCTAATCATTTTATTTTTGGTGCAACAGCAAGAAAAGAGGAAACCATTATTTCATAATTGAATTGAAAGGAAACACATGATTGCATGACAGCTGGTAGGTATTTTCAATTATCCCTTCCTCATTTATGTCCACAAAGATTTTCTGTCTACAGACTGCACAGATGTCATTGGACAAATTTCTTGTAGGCATCCCACTGACATTATAAAACTGTTGAATATTTATAGTGGGGGAAACAACACTTTCCATTAGGGCCAAGGAGACACAAATAACTCAGTATAAGTCCACAATGGTTAAGGACAGGAATGAAAGAAGCTAAAACTTAGATACTAGTGACAGAATGTATAGATCCTGACATGTAGGTGGTTTGGAGAGAATTAAAATCTTCTTGCTGAGAAGAGAACTTCAAGTGTCTGCCTCTATTGCAAAGCGTGCCAAACATCCCAGACTTGTCCTTCACTAAGGACACCTACATTCCCTAACTGCCTCATTAAGAAGAAAAGACAAGAATTGCAAAAAGGGAAAGATTTAATGGCTCTTTCACTGGGTTTTGGAGAACTAAGAAGCAGACCCACCTATGGCAATGAGGAGTCTTTTTTGGTCTCTTGTTTATATGGAATCAGGTTGAGAGAAACCCTATTTTTGCCTTTTTTGTTTGGACCAGCCCTCTACGTTGCTATATAGGGATTGTGTCTCCTAACTCAGACCAGTGAATACTCACTGGTTATAATACTGTATTAAGAAATTCCTTTTGAAACTAAGATCAGTCAGAAAGTAGGAGAGTTTGCCTATGGCACAATAAAAGTTGTCTTTAAGGAAAGGTTAGATAAACTTGTAGAAAGAGTACGGGGGGAATCTTTCTTCTAGAAGCATGGGGTACAATTAGACTCAAGAGCTCATTGCCAGTCCATCTGACTGTCATTCAATGTAATGAAACCAGCACTTATGCCTATAGTGGAAGCCATGTAATCAGAACAAATCTCTGCAAAGTCTCTTCCCATCACTCCATAGTAGATTCCATAAAACAGCAATATCACACCAAAATCCATGGAATCTTCCGTCTTGATTCTGTATAACAACAGATAAAGAGCATATGGGTGTGTTTGCTAGTGTACAGAATATAGGGAGAAAGTATCAAACTGATTTTTACTCCTGATAGCTCGGCCTTTGTTTTTCCTCACTACAACTCTGTTTTCAATTTCCTTCGAAGCCAACTTCATATTTGTGGTGTAATAAGGAACAACATTAATCTCATAAAAGTATGCTCTAACAATTTCTGTTATCTTTATAGACACTTAACTCGACCTAAATAAGGTATTTAAGGAGAAATTGGAAAGGGTCCAAAG